TGGAGTTTGCATGTTCTTCCTGGGTTTATGGGGGTTTCCTCCGGGTGCTCCGGTTTCCCCCACAGTCCAAAGACATGCGGTACAGGTGAATTGGGTAAACTAAAATTGTCCGCTGTGTATGTGTGTGAATGAAAGTGTATGAGTGTTCCCCAGTGATGGGTTGCAGCTAGAAGGGCATCTGCTGCGTAAAACATGTACTGGATAAGTTGGCAGTTCATTCTGCTGTGGTAACCCCAGATTAATAAAGGGACTAAGCCGAAAAGAAAATGAATGAATGAATGAATAATCGTAATCAAGTTAAAATGTTCAATTAACCAAGATTTTGATTTTAGGCAAAATCGACCAACCCTAGCAAGTTACTTAAAAAAAACATGGTAATCATATCATAAGATTCCACAAAAATACAGTACATAAGCATCCAAAAAAGTATTACCACTGTATTCTTAGAAATACCATAGAGTGATAAAGTGATACAGTATATGAATTTCAAAGTTAGTATTACCATATGAAACACTAAATTACTTCAGTTACACGTTACTTGAATGCATCCTGCAACTAAAACAAATGGTATTACCACAGCAAATGTCATACAAATGTGGTAAACATGACAATACATGCGCATATATCATTCTTTTACTCATTTTCTTTTGGCATAGTCCCTTATTTGTCAGGGGTCGCCACAGCAGAATGAACCGCCAACTAATCCGGCATATGTTTTATGCAGTGGATGCCCTTCCAGCTGCAACCTAGTACTGGGAAACACGTAGGGCGTACTCACACTAGGTACAGTTGCCTTAAATCGTAGCAACGCCTCTGTCATCGATGATGCAACGGTTCAGTTTAACAGGAAGAGATGTGCTCTCGTTTTAGTCATTTGGGATGCAGTGACTTGCAGTCAAATACTTCGCCGAACAGATCCACAATATTTGGCGCTCATAAATTATTATAAAAGTCATCATGCTGCAGGTATTAGAAGGTTTGCTGAAGATGCAGCTGACGTTCAGTGAAGGGTTTGTGTCTTTAATAAACTATAACAGTTCATTAAAAAAAGAAGAATTATTAATAAATCCATATGAAATAGTTCCCTAAAAGTGACATTGTATCGGGTTCATGCGCGCTTTGTACTAAACCAATGAGTGTACAATGCCAAAGCCCAACCGATCCGCTCCTGGGTCTGATTTAGAACACTCTTGTCAAACAAATTGGGAAATGCGCCTGAGCATGGTTTGGCTAGCATAGTGTGAGTGCACCAATTTTACCCAAGTTTACCCAATTCACCTACACCGCATGTCTTTGGACTTTGGGAGAAACCGGAGCACCAGAAGGAAACCCACACGGACACAGGGAGAACATGCAAACTCCACACAGAACAGCCAACTGACCCAGCTCGGACTCAAACCAGTGACCTTCTTGCTGTGAGGTGACAGTGCTAACCATTGAGCCACAGGCAAGCCCACACATGAATCATTACATACAAAAATGTTCAAACATTCAGGGTCTTACTAGCACACAAACACACACAAACAACAATTTATTTAAGAAATTTCATGGTTCTTTGATATGAAAGTCTTGTTAAAAGTTAAGATGAATTTACTGCATTTGAAATTACTCAAAACTAACTCAAAACTTCTGAATGGTAGATTGAGGTATGTGTGTGTTGGTATATTTATGTCCTTATTATGTCCAATGTATATTATCTTCTTGGTTAAACATGAAACATCTATATAGAATATAAGAACTTTATACATAGTGATGCCGTTTGTAATGTGCTTGTTGTGTAGCAGAGCACTGTTATCAGAAATCAGTTTAACTCCAAAAGAAGGAGCCACAAAACTCTCACCAGTGACTAATTTTCACACCACTACCAGAGAGGAAGAGAGAGAGAGGGAGATTAGCTTCAGATGTGGTAGATGCCTGGGTTGTTTCTGATGGTAAACAGCCTTATCAAAGAGTCTCTCAGTCACACTTTGGTTGAGGGAACATTAAGTAGAGCTTATAACATTTACTGAATGTCTGTAAGGCTCTGATTCACAAGCTGTGCGTGTGAAATCAGTGTTAATGGTTTTCTGTGTGGTGAGGTGGGGTGTGGGTAGAGCTTCTTCAGGGGCAGACAACCGGGAATGCTGTCCCGGGAGGTGAGATGAAGGAGGGAGGGGGGCTAATTGGGTTCGATATTAGCATTTTTCCACCAGCACCATTTAGGTTTGAGTTCCAGGCCAGTATCTATTCTGGTTCCATGTGTTTCCACCACATGAAATGGGTCTATTAAATTCTTGCACCATAAAACTGCTGATCTCGAATTGAGTGGGATACTCAGAAATACTAAAATGCTTGTTAAGAAATCCAATAACTTTACACTACACTGCTCAATATGTCTAAATAATAAATATATGCATTAGAAATGCCAGCATTCAATATAGTAGTCGGGTTTGAGATTTCTGGTGCCGCCAATTTATTTGAGTGTTGCCTGTATGTAAGAATCTCTCCTGGTACTGTGTGAAAAGAGAAACATAAGTGCTAGACTGCCAGCAAAACCTCTGCACAGAACTGGCCAAGAATGGATTATGGCTCCAGAACACAAACAATTTCAGTGAAAAAGCAGTTTGGCCTGACTTAATAGTTGGGCCCAATGAATGACCCACTCAAAAAATGTTGAACTAGCCACGTTTCCACTGTCTCGCCAAAAGTGTGAGCGCTAGTGTGTGCCAGGGCCAGTTGCGTTTTCACGGTTACTTTCAGGGTTGATTGGGTCTTGTTGGGCCTTACTCAAGTCATAACCAGAGTTTTTTGGCCTGCTAAAAAGCTTGAGTTAAAGCAGGCCAGCTACTGTAGGGCTTCTGAAGTAGTCATAAACAAAAGTCTAAGTCAGAAGAGGGTCAGCACCACTGCACATTTTCCATGTTTTTATATCAGTCTAGCACATGGGTCTCAAGCTCAACTCCTGGAGGATCGCAGCTCTGCATAGTTTTGCTCCAATCCTAATCAAACACAGCTAATCCAACTAATCAAGATGTAATCAAGACTACTACAGACTATTAAGCAGGTGTGATTTGAAGGTGGTTGGAGCTAAACTGTGCAGAGCTGTGGCTCTCAAGGAATTGCATATGAGGCCATGTTCACACTAATGCATTTTAGCTTGAAAACGCATAAGTTTTGCTAAAGCAAAACGCTGAAGAGGACGTTTTAGTTTGAAAACTCTGCTGTTCCGTGCTAGTGTGGAAGGGGGGAAAATAGAGACATCTGAAAATGGAGGCGGGTTGCAGACATTCTGATTGGAGCTTTTTCCTCAATATTAAGTAGCCTACACAAATTTCAGTCCTGCATCCTCTCCTTGTAAGTTCAGAATTTGCAAGTTGAGAAAACAAACTCATGAGGACATGTCGAGTAAATCTTTAAAGGCAACAGCATGGGCTACATTACAACCTCATTTACATCACCCTAACTACGTGGCTTCTTATTTTCTTAGCAAAAAAAATGAAAACATGATTCAAGGAACTGCCTATTTTCATTTTGATTTGAGCAACTTAACAGACACCAAAAATGTTGAGGCATCGTGTAGCTGCATATATGAGCATCATCTTCACTGTATGCATGAGCATCATCTTCACTGTATGCATAACAAAACAGAGTCTATAACATAACTGCCTCCTTTCATTTTCATTGAAAACACAAAACATACCCTCTCTTTTGCTGAATATCAGTTTTAATAACCAATAATGGCCATTATAAAAGTATAACGTACAATAAGTTTATACATTATAGGAAATAAAGGCAAGCAATCAGTCAAATGTGCAGAATCAGTGTACGTCGTTACATTAATTAATATATTAACTTATCGTTGCGCTCAGCCAAAACATGTTACCTGAGAACAATTAATAGATTCAAAAGACCAAAATCGGGGAATATGTTGTTAGATAGAGACAAAAATATGAATTAAATATCACGTTTACACATGAAACAAATATAGTGAGATTAGATCCAGCGGTAGATCCTTGATGAACAGTCCGACATGCACAGCTCTCATCTGGGTAGATAACTACCTGGAGCTCAGACTTGCGAATACACTGCAGTGCATGCCCGAGTGTGTGTGTGGTCACGTGATGTGCGTTTTCAGTGGTATTGTGTGAACGTAGAGTTGTTCAGAAACGCTAGGTGAAAAGCTAGTATGGATGTGGTTCATTTTTATTCTAAATGCCTTTTAAAAGAAAAATGTATTAGTGTAAAGGGGCTTGAGAACACTGGTCTAGCAACTCATATTAACATTTAAAATATTTGAGATGACTACATCACAAAATACATTTAAACACCTTGCAGAGAACTAATACATGACTGTCTGTTTTATCAAAAATGATTGGCCATACAGTATCATGATCCTAGAGTCTATTAAGACCAAATGTTTATATCTACAGGAGCTTGTTGGTTTTGCTATACGGATTTGATTTATTTGCCCTTACTTGTGAAATATAATGATGCTAATTCAGGGAGGTCTGTTAAGTATCACCCGACAATGGAAACCCAGCATTGTTTAGGTTACTTTGCTTGAGGTCCGATACTATTTGCCACACTCGGCACGGCGAGTCATTTTATGTATCTTAAATATTTTAAATGTTATAAAACATTTTATACTGATATAAAAACATGGAAATTTTGAGCAATGTAGTGTAAAGTTATTGGTTTGCTTAACAAGCATTTTAGCATTTCTCAGTTTCCCACTCAATTTGAGACCAGAAGTTTTATGTTGCAAGATTTTGAGACACATTTCATGTGGTAGAAACACATGGAACAAGAATTGATACCAGTCTGGAACTCACACCTAAATCGTGCTGGTGGAAAAATGCTAATATGCTAATATTGAACCTGTTTAGCCTCCTCTCTCCCTCATCTCACCTCATCATCACCTCCTGGGATAACATTCCCGGTAAAGAAGTCCAATACTATTTGGACCACTCTGCACTTCAAGTGGGAAAGCTGCTAATGTGGGTGCAGTAAGGTCATCGTACCTGTTTGGCCTTCGATTTGGTTATTGTATCTGAGATAGGTTTCTTCTTTTCCTTGACTGCACTTTTGGCAAACATTTCCACAAATTCGTCAAAGTCTACTGATGGCTCTTGAACATTCTCCCACACCAAAGCACTTTTGGCATCCCTATAAAGGAGGAACATAAAACATCAGTTTGATTTATCTGCTGTCAGTGTGTTCAAAGTCAAGGTGAAACACAAAAAGTCAGCATACACACAGCAAATGAATATTGCATTCAACTGACAAGGCATGTGATTACTTTTTGGCATGAAGCTGAATCCGGGTCCAGTAGAGTGGTTTCATTGGTCGTGGAGGCTCAATGACAGCCTTCAGGGGGACAGACTCATGGGCCATGCCTGGAGGCCCCATACCCATGAAGGGTGGTGGAGGTCCAATTCCAGGTGGAAGAGGGGGCGCTGGAGGTCCACAGCCAGGAGGAGGGGGAGGAGGGGGTGGCGTCATGCCTGGGAGTGGAGGTGGAGGAGGTGGGGCCATACCTGGAAGTGGAGGTGGAGGAGGTGGGACCATGCCTGGGAGTGGAGGAGGGGGTGGAGCTTTGCCAACAACTGGAGGTGGCGGAACAAAACCTGGCAGAGGAGGTGGAGGTGGGATCACACCTGTGGGTTTTGGTAGAGTCATACCTGGAAGTGGTGGGGGAGGAGGGAGTTGAGGGGGTGGTGGTGTTGATAGTGGTTGAGAAGTGGTTCTTTGGCAGCTACAGGTATAGGGTAATCCCATTGGTGAAGTGGCACTGTCACTTAATTTGGGAGTCTGTGATTGGTGTGATAAAGGCACTGGAAATTTGAAGGCTTCCTCAACAGGCGAGGTCTGAATGGCTTTTACATGATGCAGAACACGTTGTCCGTTTACTTTAGTCTGTTTGATGGTTTGATTAAAACCAGCCACTTCTCGATCCTTCCTTCCAAGTTTTCCATCCACAACATGATTATCTTTTTCTATTTCTGATATTTTCTCAAGTAACTCTTCAATTGTTTGCTCTAGCTCCTGAATGGAAACGGAAGACCCTTCCAGAACACTTCCAGATTGCCCCGTGGATCCATCCTGTGGAGAGCAGGATACAGAAAAGAGAGTCGTCACATCTTTAAAAAGAAACAGCAGCATGGAATGAAAAACACAGACACCTCCTGTCACATGCGATCGTACTAGCATGAGTTAGTGCCTTGTTTTAGCGGATGTTAGTTTCTCCTCCGAGACTCTGTTTTCTGAGGAATGGTATGAGTGAGTGTGTGTTTGTGAGTAAGGGGCTGTGTTTCTTAATAACACAGACCAGGCACGCATGTGGCGTCCCACAAGTCAATAAAAGCACTTTGGCTGATCAGGAAAACATAGCAGTGCTTCCTGGATGAAGGCAAGAAAGTGAACCAAGGGAAATGAATGAACCGCCACAGCCAGACGTGCTAAAATCGTCACACAAGGGATGCACTTGGCAAACACAAAAACATGGTAATAAACACACAGAGGCGAACTTCGTCACGCACACATACAATCTGGCAGCAAGGGTCAAGGAAGTCCAACAAGTCTAGACTCCAGAAGTCGTCTCTGAGGACTCCTAAAAATCGAGCCGCAGAGTCTCTGGGAATGAGGAGGGAAGGGTTTTTGCCTTTCTATTACACAGCTTCAAACGGCTTCAAAGAGCTTGTGTGGGTCTGTGCGAAGGGTTGGGGGAGAACAGAGAACATATTACACACATGGAGTCTAGTTACATGTTTGGCCCTGTCAGATTGACATGGGTTTGGGGAGACGCTTTCATTCACAAAAATCTTCCTCCACTGTCAGGGAGGTTTGGAAAATTGTGGCTCCAGACCTCCAGGCCTCAAGAATTCTAGATTGATTAGTAGCCATCAAAGTTCCTTCATGCAATTTGATATGGTCATATATGTACCAGAAATAATCTACTATATTTTGCTGTAGTTATTGCAAATTAGTACATCAAACAAGAACTATCTAACCACTAGGGGGCGAATTGCAACAAAACCCCATTAAAGAATATTCCGACCAGAAACATGAGCAATAAACTGTAACATAAGGTGTTGCGTGTGTGCTTTGAACACTGGAATGCGAGCAGTCATTTATCATTTCAGAACTCAAACACGGTGAATCTTATAATGCAATGGCAGCCGCTGTGTCTGTTGGACAGATGTTTAGATCTGGATAAGATGCTGTTAGGATGCTGTTTACAAAGGGTCTCATAGCAACTCTAAGGACAAGTGTGGCTTGTGAGGTGTTAAATACATTATGAGCAGCAGAAGGGTGTTAAAAATTAGTTGAGAGTTTATACAATCCAGCATAGACATAAAGGGACAGTAGACAAAACCAAATTTATGTTTGAGTACATAACGCTTTTACAAACATGGTAATTGAATCATTCAGTAGTATTATTCTGGGGTAGTTCAATGGAACAGTTGTTAAGTATCAGATGTTTATATAATACACTGATATATAATACCATGAGATTTTCATACTGCATTTATGGAAAACATGATTTTACCATGGGAAATAACCATTTCCAGTCACAGCATAATATTTGTCTGGTACACTTAAGGTGTATCAGATGGTGATAGCAATGCACTTTAATATTTACCATTATCAAATGTCCAAAAAATATTACCATGGTCATTTCTGGAACATTTATTGTTGCCTTTACAAAAATGCGTTGATACTGCCAGACTTGCAGTAAAAGGATAACAAAAAATAGAATTAAAATGCATCATAGAGATGGAATTTTTGTTTCATAGCCAACATCTAAGAGCCAACATCTTAAAAACATAACAATGCCAATAATGACTGTAGGCTATATTCTCACTGTGGGTATATCAAATCATATATAATCTCATACTCGCACCTGTGCAGCAGTAAGGGTCGGAGGCCAAATTCTTTGCAACCGCCCAGGTGTTCTGATGTCATGCTGACCCATTGGAGCCCAGGTGTACAGTTGATCCTTCTGTAAGTGTGTGCAATAGAAACAGAGAGCTGACATTAAAAGAGCTGATGATGGTAAGACACTTTTAAAAAAGCATACAAGAATCTAAAATTAGCCTCCAGTTCCTGGGGCTTCTTTCTTGATTAAACAGCAAGACAAAAAGTATATTTGGAGGCAACACTGTGTGTGTAGAGGGACCTCTGCTGGTAGACTGAAAGAAAAACAGCATTGACCAAATGGGAGCAATGCACAGCATTGTCTTGCTGACACTACCAGCATGCTCAAACATACAATCTGAAAGGCTATTCGTGAGGCTGTCCATTCACATCAGTGGGGGTTTGCTTAGGCATGCAGTGAACATGTCATTCGGTTAAGACATGCTGCAGTGTTGCACTGCATGATTGTTCATATTTCAAAGGTAAAGGCTACCAACCGGGTATAACAAGGTTGTATATAATTTAAATTCTTTCCTGGTTAATATCTGATTGCAAATGAGCAAACATAGTTTCTTTACATAAATGTACTTTTAATATGTAAATCTGGATGAGTATCTTATGTTGCACAGTCAAAATTATATAATTTTCTTTTATGGCAAAATTCATTAGTATATTAAGTAAAGGTCATGTGCAGAGGTGCCCAGACTTCTTCATATAAAGAGCCAAAAACTAAATATTATGAGCCATGGGCTGAAGGTAAATATACCAAACTATATTAAAGTTGCCAGGGTTAATTTCCTAATCCATGTCATTATATATATATATATATATATATATATATATATATATATATATATATAAACATTACTTTAAATTGTTTCAACTAATGCAGTGTAACTTTTGAAATGATAACTTATTGGAATTAAAAACATAACATTGATCAGTGGAGTTCAATGCTGAATACACTAGTCAAGCAGAACCTGCCTTTGCCTTGATTTGCTCACCAAAGTCTCTGCAATGTCCTTTATTTATCAGGTGACAGTATGTACATTTAAACAAAATCTGATAAATTTAACAATATTTTATTTAAACCCTTAATTTTAAGTTGGCTTTTACAATAAAACTAAAGGTTACATCAGTTTTGAAATGACAATCTCTAAACCATCCCAATCATTCCACTTCTTTTCTCAGTTGGGATGGTGGGCCAAATCAAAGGTTACCATGGGCCAACTTTGGTCCGCAGGCCCTAGTTTGGGCATCTCTGTTCTAAAGACATTTTGTAAATGTCCAACTGTAAATATATCATAATTTATGATTAGTATATGCATTGCTGAGGGCTTCATATTGACAACGTTAAAGGGTAATTTTCTAAATATTTTTTTTATTCATTTTTTTTTTTTTAACATTTTTTGAACCCTCAGTTTTTATGACTGAATCTAAATAGTTGTATCTTTTATCCAGATATTGTTAAACCGTATAGCTTATCAATGGAAAGCTTTTATTTAGCTTTTAGGTTTTGTAAATATCTAATAAAAAAAAAATTACATTCATGAAAGGTTTTATGGTGCAGTGTCACATCTGTAAAACTGTGTAAATCCGAGTGCATCTGTGTTTATGAGCGTATACAGTAAAATGTGTTTTATATGGTAGTCCCAAATTAGAAAGTTAGAAAAATTATATTTAAAAATTAAAATTTACATAGATTCTAAAGAAATTTAACTGTCATGACAGACAGACAGATAGACAGGCAGACAGACAGACAGACAGACAGACAGACAGACAGACAGACAGACAGACAGACAGACAGACAGACAGACAGACAGACAGACAGACAGACAGACAGATAGATAGATAGATAGATAGATAGATAGATAGATAGATAGATAGATAGATAGATAGATAGATAGATAGATAACATACATGGTTAGACAGTGATGGTGAATGAAATAATGAATCCGTCTCTAGACAATGATCCATAATAACAATAGGCTACTGCTCTCTATGCCTCATTGAAACCACAGGCAATGAAATCACAGTATTAAGTCATGCTCTGCCATCACAAAGGGCCATTGTGGTTTTAAAAATAAAGATTTATTTACTCACAACTTTGTTTTGAGACTCTTTTTGAGTATTAAATCTGCTCCTTTACACACAATGAAATTAAATGTTATTAAATGAGATTTATTTTTTTTTATTTTTTAAACACTTTTTTTAAGGTTTCTCTTCAAGAGGCAACACAACAAAATGACGGCTAGCTTAGCATGCGGTTTCAACCTCGGCCACCAGGTGTCACTTTCAGCAAGTCAAATGTAAAAGGCTGTCGTAATTATTTGCCCTTGAATAAAAATAAGGAAAAGGTTTTACACACCACAATCAAGAAAAGAAATCAGGTAGCATATGCTTCAAATGCATTTGATACCATGTAAAAAAAAGTGTGTTTCTTTAAATAGTTGCTTTATCTAAAGTCTATAACAAATCTCTCTTCACATTATTTATCAAAAGAATAATTTTGAGTTATTTTTTTGAGTTGTAAACAGACCATCTTTAGTCCGAGCTCAGCTGTAATTCACTGTCTAAATAGAAACTGAAGACTAGAACAAAACAGAACAGAAAACATTAAGACATATTTTATTACATTATGGAAAGGGAGAAATTAAATGATGGCAACCAGTTAGATAAGGGTCAAGGGTAAATTCAGAGAAATCAAACTGCTGGGTAAGAATAATAAAATAATAAGGGGCAATTAAATCAGTCAACAGACATGTACTGAGGTGTCTTTGAAATAATACTCTGGAACTGAAAGATATTTTTACTTCATGCAAATCTTGTGAGTGATGCATAATATGTTTCGTCTGCAGATGATTATTAATACAGCACCACCTCATTTACATTCTCATTTGCACAATAAATTGAAGAGGTCTAATTTCCACTGTCATTAAGAGCCATTATTTGGCTTTCAGCCTGACAGGGCTAAATCACATGAGTCAAACTAGTCTATAATGTTGTTTTTGCTAGCACAAATAGTGTAAAACATCCCAAATAATGTGCTACATATGGATGGGTGACAGAAATTAATTTATATAGTATGTGTGTGTGTGTGAAAAAACACAAATAGACAGCAGCATAGAATAAAAAAACAGCTAATGAATTCAGTCTTTTCTACCTTCAGAAACAAACACAAGCATGGGACAGCAACAAAAACCACGTGACCCATATTACGTAATCTGGTCAGATGGCTTATGCATGCAGATGTGTCCATTTAAGCACACACAAGCACAGCATGTATGCATGTTTGTGAAAGTAGTCTGTAAATATATATAACCATAGACCATATAATGTGTGTTCACACTGCTGAAGCATGTTAGGAGGTGTGTGTATGTGTGCAGTAACATAGAAGGATAGGGAGAGTTACAGAAGCGATGTTATACGTTCATCTGTTGAGACACAAATCTGCTTTGGCTGGAGGAGCAAAGGGGAAAAAAAAGAGACTCGTTCTGTTTAGGTCACATGGGGTGGCCAAACAGAAACAGGCTGTACATTCATATATTGCATTACAACACTGAACCAAGAATCCCAACATGCGAAGCAGGATACAAAGATTTTTAATTTTCACTATTCATCACTATTTTGTTGTGCATATGATGGTTAAAAAAAAAACAATGTACATTGCTTCCTCTGTATCAAACGGCACAAAGTTACCCTGCTGAGCTCATCTCACATCTGCTCGGGCAGAATCAACTCTGTAGGTTGTTCAGAAAAGTGATAAAAAATGTGTGAAATCTGGCACAGTTTTAGTAACACTCATCAACAGCTTTTCTGTTTCTTCCTAATGCAATTCAGTGCTGAGCCCACAGACAAAACCTGCACTAAATTTTGTATGGTTTCAGATTTGAATAATCATGGGAACAAATCAAAATTATAATCAGGAAGGATACATTTAGGTTCCTGCTCAGAAATTGTATTAGTTTAAATAATGCATTATTAAAATGTTCTTAATGTAATTTGTAATAAATTTATATAATAATCAATGTGAACAATTTGGCAACCCTTTGGTATGAAAAGACATGTGGCAGGCTGTGAAAAAACAAGAGGTGATTTTTAATAAATGATACATTATCACTTTAAGTGGGTCAAGATGTAGGTTCCTTTTTTTTCTCCAGCAGAACATTAAAGGTGCAGTAGGTGGTTGTCTTCAGAAACATTATTTTTTTTGTTGTGCTGGTTGAAAGTCTCTTCATATTCCAAAAGTAATGATAAACGTAAATGATCTAAATGTATTTATATGTATTTTTATATTCTGGCTAAGAATAATGTTCATCTACTTAAAGTTTGTCAGGCTGACAATTCTCATAATTCTGATAAGTAGCCAAAACTGTCTGTCAACAAATGTAGATTTGTACATCTGCGCAGGAGTTCACGCAGATCTGCCGTTTGCGCGCACACGCATTCACTTGCACACGAGAGAGGGAGAGCGGTAAAAACAAATGCTGGATCAAAACTTTATAAAAACCTGAATCAATATTGGAGTTACTTTTGCACGCTGGAGGAAGGACAACACCATGGCTGAAGTATTTCTTTTAGACAGGTAATGTTATGTTTAAAACTCATTTAGTCACACAATGCTTATCGAGATTGTGTTGTGTTATGAATGGGTTATATGCACAGAAGTGTCCACTGAAATCCTCTGGTGAAAGATTGATGTGTCTACTTTCTGTTTCATAAGGTATCTTTTACAGAATCGATAATGTAGATTTTTATTTAGTTTAATAACAAAACATAAGTAAACAGTGCTATTTCGCCTAGCCTGCTTTACTGAGGTGAAGTTGGGTGTATATTCACATTCGTTCATTGTTGAACAATGACAACCTGTGACATGCACCTTATATTGTTTATCATGCTACCAGGGCTTGACATTAACTTTTTTGATTACCAGCCACTGTGGCTAGCAGTTTCCCAATGTTACTAGCCACTCACTATTTTCACTATCATCAATTTTGTTGTTTGTAAATATATTTTATATGCATAAATTTGACTTTGGCATGTTAAAATTACTTATATAGATGTTGTGGTATTTCCAAATTCCTCCTCGTTAATTTAAGTTTTTTTGTGTGTGTGTTGTGACCTTGCGCAATGAGCATGAGCAAATAGGCTTTCATAGTGTCGCACTGCAATAGTTTTATTTCACATCTCTCAGTTTATATTCACTTTTTTGGGCTCAACACTAAGGATTTACCATTTTCTTTCTCTGGCCACATTAAACTAGTTATTTCCTTGCCACAAATTTTAAATAATGTGTCAAAACAAGCTAAATATGACTTATTATTCAACATTAAAAAACAATTAAAAAAATATTCCCATGTATCTAAAACATACACAGTAGTCTGTCCAGGCTACAGATCCCAGATCACCAGTTAACTATAGATAAATGGAAAGTTAATCTTCTATTAAAGCAATGTAATTGTAAAGGATAATAATTTAACCACATTAACAAAAATAACTGCAAGAACAAGAAAGCTGGTGAAAACTGTTAATGTTAGGCATATTAATAATCTGTTCGAGGTATGGTTAAAGCAAAAGTGGCAACTGCTGCTGCTCAATCTCAATCAAATCTCAATCTAAATCTTGAAAGCAGCAAGACTGGTTGCATTAGCACAGATTTTTCCAGTTTATTTCAAAGAGAAACGACAGCACCAGTTGCCAGCAGCCACGGTTGCTTTGCGTAAGGAAAGGGGACACGGGAGCTTTAAAACACTCTCTCGCATCAGATCAGCTGCATGTATGACACTGTCACCAGTAAGTGAGGATTTCAGAGCGCCTGATCATCCTCTAATTTGGTATTCGCCTGCTTTCTTTTGCTCGTGCAAACACTTATCAGTCGTGCTGCTTCTCAAAATCTACCCGCGGGTTGGCTGGTGTTAATGTCAAGCCCTGCATGCTACTATGAATATGTGGTCGGAAATAGCATGTAAGTTTGGTTTAGTAATAAGTGTAATTCCTGCACCCTGATGGCCAACCACTAAGCATACAGTATCGCTTTAGGACAAAGCATATAGAGAGTGAGACCAGCAGTCTTTGGACGTTTGAAATATTGCTCATTATGACAAGTTTTGCTTGCTACATAACTGAAATTGTGCTAGATATAATACAGTTTGTATTTGGAATTGTAGTATTATAAAGTACTATGAACTGTTCGAACTGGCAAATGACATGATCTAGTGGATAGTCAACTGTCATCTTTATTTTGCATGTTCATGATATCAGGAGACATTGCTTTGGACGGCAGGGCTGGGACTGTGTTTCAAAGATATTATACTAACCAGTAAGCATTTTAGCAGATCACCTACTGCACATTTAAAGGACATTTTTAGCAGAAAACTTGAACCTACTGGTGATTCATAGAATACAAAACAAACTGCTACAAGCACATCGAGAGAGAAAAAAAAACATACAGGTAAAACTTATATCAATATCCTTGACTTAATTACTATCCATGGCTCCTGTTACTAAATTACAATCTTTGGAAACTCATAATAAAGTATAATGACGTATATGTAAGCATTTACAAATTAATTAATTAAGCTATTAATTTAGTTTTGTCTGTAGTCTCAAAAAGTGACACACAGTTAAATGAAAGACTGTAATTTTAGCTAAACAACTTCTTTATCATTACACTGAATTAAAAGAAAATCACCTATAACTTTAAAAACTTTAGAGTGGGCAAATGAACAACACATTTGACATTTTGGGTGAACTTCGTAAATCAAGAAACAACCAGATGGTCATACACTGAAAGTGGGCTTATCTGTGACGTCACTTCCTGTGGATGGCTCCCTGATGCAGTCACTGAAGGGCTGTAAAATCCCCAGATCCAGAATACGAGAACAGAATCTCTCGATGTCCTGCATAGCACTGTCATCTTCAGATGAGCTCCACTGTAAGAAACACCTCTCCAATAGAGAGCTACCTGCAGGAGTCCAATTGAAAGACACACAGAGGTGGAAACATTTGAGAGTGAAAACAGCTGCGATTGATTTTAACTGCTTAGGGTCTCTTGTTGTTGGTGTCTGACCCTGTTTAGAGTAGCTGGAAAGTGATGCTTTGAGCCAGAAAGCAAATAAAGTGGAAACTGTGTCATTTCATTAGGTGAATTGATGCGTTAACTGTATGTGTGTGTTTTTCTAAAAGGAGAATTTCTCCACCCTGAGCCTGAAGATACAGTTTGACATCCTCTCTCTCATTTATCAGATGGACACAAACTCAATAGCTCATCCTCTGGTACAGAGGCAGAATTCTGGGTAGCATTGATTAGTTGGAGAAAAAAAAGCTAGATACAAAACACAACTCTTAATTTCTTGTTATATATTCCATTTCAAACACACGGAAAAAAGTATTCGTGGATGAACAGAATCTGAATGTTTTCAGATTTTTAATAATTGACCAAGAAGCAATGTTAAAAACCTGCTAATGCTTTCAAGAACAACAAGTCATAGTGCTCAGCATAATTTATTATACCCCATTATAGGGTAATATTTGTATCCATTTGTCAGTGAGTGTAGGCATTGTATTTTGGTGCATTTAAACAAAACAGATTTGTTAAACAGATATATTTATTAAAATAATATTTTAGTCACCAAACATATTTAGAGACTGAAAGATAATACAATTAAATTCAAGCAAAATATGGCAAAAAGAAAAAAAAATGACAACATACAAAAAATCAACTAAACTTTTTACATTTTTTTGCTTCTCCTGATTTTTCCTCTTCTTAAAATTTGTATTTAATATTTTTCTATAACATAGAAATTTGGGTGTATTAGTTTTTGGACTGTTATCGTAAGTTAATTTGTCAGATAAGCTCCAAATTTGGCTTTAGTGCTGACTAATCTAATGTATATGCACTAATATAATATTGTATAGCTTCCTATTAAAAAAATAATTTAAAAGATGGGTTTGTGAGGGGTGTACTTATATATGCTGAACACTATACATGCAGTACAATCAAGATTTTCTGGACCCAAATAAGTAATATAATTTCAGCATAATGATTTTCTTGAAACACTTTGTTGCACAATTGTGCGTTGGACCTTATAACATTTGGTTCAATTAACATTTGATGTTTCTGTATCTTCAAGGCTTTGTAAACACATTTGGATATACTCTAAATAGCTACAGTATGTAGGTAGGAAGTAAAACCAAAATAAAATGTGTTCAATAGTGTCCATATCTTCTTTTTTATTTATATTTTAATCTTAACATCTGGTCTATCCTAGTGTCAGCTTCATAAACAGTTTGTAAAAAGCAGATCATTTGCATAAACCATGTAAAAAATGTGTGTGTGTGTGGGTGTGTTGTTACACAAGTGTGTATTTTAGTGACTTCCTGTGGCACTCCGACTCAATGAGGCAGAAGCCAGAGCTTTCTTTGCCAGTAGCTAATGTGAGTCTGTGTGTGTTTCTGTGGGACTATGTGTGTGTGTATGCATATTTGAGAGCCAGATTTTTTATATTTTTTGACTGCTCACTGAACCTTGAGGAGAGTGAAATAGAATAAAGAACAGAAAAAAAGAGGGATTTATGTCATGTTGTAGCAACGCACTTTGATACTTATCTCCTCATATGACATGGAATTATACATCTTAGCCATTCATGAGATCAGAGATTAAAAAAAAACCTTCTTTGACCATGATTTTGCTAAATATGTATTGCCAAGGTATGTTCTGTTATGCTCAGAAAAAATTCTGGGCTTTTGTAACCCAACATCAGGTCAAATATGGACGAACTCATTCGATTTAAATAACCCTTTGCTAAGCCTGCCCTTCATAGGTTTCTGTTGTTACGCCTGTCAAGCTTCCATGCCTGGCACGTCTATTACAATATGTATGTGCCAGTGTCAGACATTCCCAGGGATATAGTTGGTCGTTTTGGTGAACAGGTGGTATATTTGAGAAAGCCAGACAAAAAAGGACTGCAGTATGCATTACAGGAGTATTTTCACGACTTAATACGCAACGGATTAGAAAATAATTCAATCAAGATTAAAGCTAGGTTAGCCTAGCTGCCTCATTGGCTGAAAAATCAACAGCTTAATTCATGCACAGCAGGATAGGTGAAATTTAAAAATAATCTAATAATTACAAATTAAATCGTGATTGCTCTTTTTTAGCAAAAAAGCCTGAAAGACTAATTGTTGTGCAATGAAATATAGCGTTACTAACCAACGTGGAAACATGCACCAATTTAATCTCCAAAAGACAAACGAAAACATAGATAAATTGTAGCTCTGACATGGATAAGAAGGATATAAATTACTGAAAAACAGCAGCGGGTGAAGTATATTGATCACAACTGTTCAATTTGTGATCATATCTCTGTTTTGTTCTGTTGATATGTCATTTCAAATATCCGTAGCTTGAAACAGATGGAAATATGACTGGATTGTGCTTGCTCTTACAGCTATTGCGAGGGCTTAAACGGAGCAGTGTTCATAATATCGAGAGAAAAAATGAAAAAGACAGCTGTGAAACATAACTTGCTTTGTATTTTTGTAGGAAACACAGTTAAGACCTTTTTACAGTCAGAGGTGTGTGAGTTATTGCTGTTTATCAATGAATGTGTCAGGAATATTAAAACCAACTTAACTCCACTCTTTAAGCACCCCTCACACAGCTTAATCCACACTGGCATTTCTCCCCTTTGGTTTTAGGTTCTGGAAAGGGAAAACAAATTCCACCCCTCAATCCAAACCTTTAGGTCACCAGGTATCAGACTTGCACAATCAATATGCGCAACGACTTGGCTTGTTTTCCTCACTCGAAAGCTTGACAGACCTCCTGCGCCAAGCTATGGTTGCTAAGCCACGATTGATGTGTGGCAGTTTTCGGGTATGGCTTAGCGAAGGGTCAATTGAAACTTTAACTCAGGTCTCAAACTTGATTCCTGGAGGCCCACAGCTCTGCACAGTTTTGCTCCAACCCGAATCAAACACAGCTGATCCAAATAATAAAGGTGTTCAAGACTACTAGAGACCATTAAGCAGGTGTGAGTTGGAGAATATGCAGAGCTGCGGCCCTCCAGGAACTGAGTTTGAGACCTTTGCTTTAACTCAAAGTTGGGTTTGTCAATATTTGACTCAGTGTTGGTTTAACACAACCCAGCATTTTTTTTTTAGTCTAGACACAACTTTACTGTAAAACAAACTGAATGAAAAATGTTATTGAGATCAAATGAAAATTATATTATTTATAAGAATTCAAGATCCTACCCCAGCCCAAACCTAAACCTTAAACCTCAGAGGTCTAAATAAGGGGTACACTCTGATCCTGTGATCCAATGTTGATAATAAAAACTCACCTGCTTGTAGGTTTCTAGCAGTCTTTACTCTTCAGGATCAGACATGTCCACCTCTGTGTTATAGGATTGTTGTTTCGGGACCAATAGTAATAATAATACTGCAAACTGTCTCCAATTTTTGTCAAGTATTAGAGATCATTATTGTGTTCAGATTTGAATCAATGCAAAATTTGGACAAAAGCTGACAGATTGACTCACCTGAAAACACATCTGGAAAAGTGGATGTTGTTTGCCTGGATCTATCAGTCTGGAAGCCACTCTCTATAAGTTCAGACTGATCATGTATGACCTCACACCATTCCTCATGGCAGCCCACTGGACCTGCAATGCTACAGGATCGCTGCCTTCGTGCTCTCCAGCTTCCGGCTCGGTACGGCCCTTGACCTGTTCCAAACTCTAAGCCAACCTTGCGAGGACACATAGGGCTTGGTGAAGGAGTAGTGAATGGAGATATTATGGGTGAGGTGAGCTGTCTGGTGGTTGTTTTAACATAAGAAGTCTGTATTGTGGGATAAGGTTTAACCCCAAGGTTTGCACTGGAGGTTCTACGAGGTCGCGACCCAGAGCCTAAAAAGTTCTCCGATGACCACTGTGTCATAGATGCAGCACTGCTTTTCCTTCTTGGTTGGGTGGAAAAACCCCTGTCTACCTCTTCTACTGGACCATCACCATCTACGTTCAGCTCTACACTACTAATGCTCTTCTGTGGAACAAAAATGACCCGGTTGATTTTGGACATGTGATTGCTCGAATTCAGACCAACTTCAAGGCTCTGAGTCAGACTATTGCTATCATAATGACACTCTTCAAGAGGAGAAGATAAAGATGAACTCTCCAAGATCTCTTCAGCACTCTCGTAAGAAGTGGATGTTCCTGTATTGTCCTGAAAACTGTAGTTACTTGTTGAATGAGTAAAAGCTCTTGCATCCTGGACACTATTTGTCTCTGGTACAGCATCCTGAATACTGTAGTCACTAGACAAACTGGACAAGTGGTCAGCTTTATTTGGAATATCAGCAACTTTCCCATCTGATTCTATCTTTAATTTTGATGTGATCACCCCTCCTGTTGTATCCCCACTACATATCAGATTGAGATATTTGCTGTCAGAAGCACCTTCTAACTTTTCCGGTTCACCCTCACAAGCAAGACTACCTCTTGTAGGACCGTGAGTGACTTCAACATGGCCTTCGAACCCGACTTGTCTCTCCTTGTCCTCAGAGTGACAGTTTTGCCTCTCATCAACTCCCTCCATCTGTCTGATGGTTCTCTGGATGTCCGACAGCAGATCTTGAGCCTCGGCAGCTGAATGATAGCTGCAGAGGTCTGTATCTGACCCCGATCCCTCAGTCTCTCTTTCAACATCATCTTCAGTGGTGTCCAGAGTCGACTGCCTACTTTCAGCCGTGAGTTGCTTAGAGTCAGGCATGCAACTCTCATCACCAGATATTCCACCATTACTGTTGCCATTTGCATCAGCAGGCTTAATCCTAATCCCACCATCCAGTACATCCTCTTTGGACAACACTTTCCGGGAGAGGCCCTTACGGATGCGGATGTTGGAAAACACAGAACCTTTGGAACCCTCCGATTTGGATTTCTTCTTGCCTGATTCGGCAGATGATTTACTTTTCTTAATCTTTTTGACATGGTCCTCAGTGCCTGCTCCGTTCCCCTCACCTTCTGCTCCTGTCGTGACAGTGGGCTTCTTCTGTTTTGCCTCCTGGTTTCCCATGATCCTCAGAAGGCGAACACCTTTAGCGATCAGGCCATGCTGGGAACGTGTGCGCTCAGATTGACTTTCTCGTTCTCTCTTCTCCTCTCTCTCCCTCTCAGTGCTCCCTTGCACTTTCTCCCCCTCCCTCAGTAATCCCTCTCTCTCTCTCTTCACCGCCAGCAGCAGCTGCTGTGATGATGCTGGCTGTGACGCTGTATCTGAGGACTGTCTGTGAGACAGCTCCCCCTGCCTCCCAATGCCTCTCACTTTCTCTAGCTCGCCTATTTGCTCCGCCAGGTCACATAATGGGCTGCTGGAAGAGCGGACCAACTGAGCATGTGCAGTGTGGCCTTGTAAGGGCGAGGATGGCTGTTGTTTCTGATGTAATACTGACTGCTGTTGCTCACGTAATAACTGTTGCTGTTGTCTTCTGATGAGATTTGACAGGCTGCTCTTCCTGCGCTCTTTTGCTCTCTCTCTGAAGGGAGAGGAGTGGAAACTCTCTCGAAGGACAGGTAACTGCATCTCAATTGTCTGAATGGTCTGCATCTTGATTCCTGCTATTGTGGCCTATGGGATGGACACAAATAAATTTAAACTGAGAAAAGGTGTTGTGTTAGACCTAAAAGTTACTATATAACAATGTTACTTTTAATAGAAAGTTAAAAGTTGGATGCCTATTTCTATTCATTCATCAATTTCCTTCAGCTTAGTCCCTTTATTCATCAGGGGTTCGCCACAGCGACTTATCAAGCATATGTTATCCAGCATGTTTTCCACAGCGGATACTCTTCCAGCTGCAACCCAGTATTGGGAAACATCCATACACACTAATTCACACACATACACTATGGCCAATTTCTGTTATTAAATTCACCTATACCGCCTTATCTTTGGACTGAAGGGGAAATTGGAGCACCCAGAGGAAACCCATGCCAACACATGGTGAACATGCAAACTCCATAGAGAAATGCCAACTAACCCAGCTGGGACTCAAACCAGCGACCTTCTTGCTGTGAGACGACAGTGCTAATAACTGAGCCACCATGTCGCCTGCCTATTTCTAGTTGTTATGCATTAGAAAAGTAAATAAAGTCTTAATTACATAAAGCACATAAAATATTGGTTATAAATCAAATAACCCACAACACCGACCACTCCATTTACATAAACAAAATATTGCAAAGGTAACATTTTTTGTAATACTAATCAAAAATCTATATATTTTATCTCCTTTGTGTCTAATCCAGGCAAATCTCCACACCGAATGTCTGAAAATAGCACAGAAATTTAATTTGTGTGTGACAGAAACAGTGCGCCCAAGCAGCGTCATGTGAGCTTAAAGACTGGTCTCATAATCTAATGTACAACTGTGGCCAGCAGGCTTGAAATCAGCGTTATCCTCCAACCTTGTGGCATCAGACACATACCCATGAGCTTTCAACAGATTTATCCAATATTCATTTTTTATCTAGTACTCTGCTTCTGTCTATGCCTGCTGAAAATATGACATTTTTATATGAGATAAGTACTGAACAAATTTTTATAAATCATGCAGTCAAGTATTTTCTTAAAAGATAGACATACACTGAAAACATAAAAACCACTAAACATAGTATTTATGTTTAGTTGTCTCAAAATAAACATTCGATAAAGCGTGAAACGTTTGATTCGTCTTGTCACACACAGATAGTCTTTTAGATATATTCCTGACATCAGTTTGTTGCGTAGAAGCTCTGATTTGCCGCTGGAAGATTAGTCTAGAAGGTCACTATTAATCCAAATCAATCTGACCTGGATCAAGAATGAACAGGAGACCTGTCTAATAAGATAGAAAAGATTCAAAAAACAAGTAGTGGAAGAAAATATACTTGCCTGGATGGAGTCCAGTGATCTGAAGGAACAAGTAAGTGTTTGTGACTTTCGCTGGGCCGCTCCTCTTCCCAGATCACATGAATAATGTCATCACATGGCCTTTCTTCCTATTAAATTCTGCCAATAGCAACGGATGCAACTTCTTTTAGACACACTCAGTGTTAGGCCTTATATCACCCAACAAATACTTTTACACAAAAATGTTGCATATTTAAAATGTTACATTTATTTTGAGAAACAATCTGAGGAAAAAATGCATTTTTGTAACATTCAACAGTTATCACAAAATCCGACAGTAAGTCTATCATTTAACTTTTACACAGCCAATTTGGAACCAAACAAGAACACAGTCACATACAACACACCGCACAGAAGCTCAATTTAACTTTGATCTTTAAAGGCCTTAAAAAAAACATACAGCCTTTTTTTGCTATGTAAAACATAAAAACATATCAAAAAGTTACATTTTCGTTACTCTAATAAAAATGGTGTGTCAATAACAAATCAGGCAATTTCTCAAAACACTACAACGGTGTCAACTTTGTGTAATTTCCAATCTAGCTTTAAAATTCTCTCCTGTTCATTTTAACAAAAGTTTTAGGAACATAATTTTTTTGTCTTGAGGATGGAAATTACACTGTTTGATATAATAATTACAATTTAGAAACATGTCAATGTACTGCATGTACTGCAAGTCCACTAGTTAGTAGGCAAATTAAATAAACTGATTGTAAAAAAGTGTGTTTTATAAGGTTTTTTTCTGGTAACACTTTACAATAATAGTGCATGAATAATGATGTAATAATATGTAAACTAAACATTATTATGAACTAATGATGAGTTAAGGCATGTGCTAATCATGAACTAACTTTAACTACAACATGGGTCACATGAGTTCATTGGCTACCTTAATCACTTGTTAGTACATGTTGTTAATTAATGTATTAATTAACATTTAAGTTTGAGCTAAATGTAATCAACAAAAACTCATAAGCCGTTAATATATGATTATGTCATGACTTGGAGGGGCACATTATCATTAACTTATCCTCAACTACTTATGAACATGAGTGTTTAAACTGTTGATGTTGACAGAACACCTTTCTATTGTTATTAAGTGTATGCGCACTAGACGGACGTGCATAAGGAGTTCATGAGTAGTTAAGGATGGGTTAATGATGATGTGCCCCTCCAAGTAAGGTGATGATATAATTCTACATTAACAGCTCATGAATTTATGATGGTTAAATTAAGCATAAACTAATGTGGTGCTTAATACAGGGTATATGCAGGAATCCTAAAAGTAATTTCAATACCTTTTAAGACATTTTAAAGATCTTCACAAAATATTTTAAGACCTCATCAAGTTCAAATCAGTATCACACGTTTAACTTAATAAACAGTTGTAGTTAAATAAATTAATGGAGCACAACCATGCAGCAGATCTCAGATAAGCTCAGAAGAAACAAAGCTTGAAAGAGCGACAGGGTTCAGACGCTGTTTGAACTCGTCTTTCTCGTCTTTTTCTCGCAAAGACGGAGGAGCTCGGTCGGATGTGCCCGGGCCGAACCAAACGCATAGATCGAGGAAAATAAATATATTTATGCTTTTTTGGAGTCAAACACTTCGGACAACGTTCGAAATTTAGGACCTTGTAAAAATTTGATTGAGACTTTTTAATACTTTTAAGGGCCTTAATTTTTCTCATAATTGATTTATCAACTTTTAATACTTTTTGGGACCACGTGGACACCCTGTAATAAATGAATTAACAAACAATCATGTACCAACAAGTAATTAAGGCAGTCGTTATTAACACACAAATTCCTGTGACTCATGTTGTAGTTAAAGTTAGTTCATGATTAGTGCATGCATTAATTCATCATTAGTTTATAATAAAGTAACGTTTAGTTTACATTACATGTTACCTATTTTCTTCCCTGAGCCAAAGGAGCTCAGAGTTGAAGAAACATGCACGCTCGGTTGATAGGTCTGAATTTGGTGTGCTTTTTAATCTAGAAAACAGTCTGTATGTAACTAATTCGAGTTATGTTAAATTAAGTGGTAATAGAGGAAACAGTTTGGCTTTAAAAGAAATGACGTCCCAGCACAATAATGTTAAATCTGAATGTCCATTAAACAGAGTTAAAAACATTCTTTAGGTTTTATAAATGATTTCACAGCTAGCCCAGTATAATCAGTGCACAATCTCAAAGTCAAACGTAAGGCATTCCAAACATATACAAATATATTCAGTGTGCACTGAAAACATACATAATAGCTATTGAAATACTTGTAGCAAAACAAATGTAAACAACCACGCTTTATAATACAAGAGCAGCTTACGGAAGTGCTGTTTATGAATAACCAAAAGAAGAGAAAATCCTACAAACTGTTCAACTGTGGCTCACATGTTGCAGAAGAACACTTACACTTACCGAAACAGCACTGAACCCCTGTGTGGCACGTTTTCACAGAAATCAGCAAATTTCACGTACAAAAAGAAATATCTTATAATTATTGTTCACCGTAAATACTTTCATATACATTGCAATATTTAAAAATCATATTTTAGTTTCTGTTCATTGACAAGAATGAAATATGTAATATTCAATCCCAAAATATTCAAACAATTATCTGAAGAGTATCGCATCTGATAAACTCTCAGAGATTCAAAATATACAGTCTACATTTCAAATGTACTTCTTTTACATATCGCTGAACTCCTGAAAGTTGGCACTGAAGATTTAGTAAAAGGCATACAAAAGTCCACAGGGAGTACAGATGGCAATTGCACTTGCTCAAACCACAGTGTCTGAAAATGTTAAGACCAAGAAACCCAGGATCAAAAGACACTGAACTACACGTCCACATCAAGACTTACATATTAAAGCTTGAGTATATAATACAGAGTCTTGAGGAATCACCTCTTGAATCTTTCATTTTAGCATTAGCACTTTAGCTTCTTCACTGTTCTTCATTTGCTATGTGGAGTCTGTCGGTATGGGCCTGTGAAACCTCACAGCCTGTCTTTGCGGAAAGCTTGGCTTGCTTTTTTTCTGATCCCAGCGACATAGCAGGATCATTTTGAAAGTGCTACGAAAAGTTTTGTTGCAAAGTGCGTAGCACATAGGATTTACTGTACTGTTGACGTAACATAACCAATAGCCTAGCGCCCAGAGGTTCTCAGGTATGCAGCCATTGCAGAAAGTGTTCACCAGTACCATGATGTTATAAGGCGTCCATGTTATGATAAAAGCAAAGAGGATGGCGCTTAGAGTCTGTGCTGCTTTCTTTTCCTTTATTAGCGACATGCGCTTGCGCTTGGTGATTTGTGTCCTTGCGCGAGCTGCAAAACGTTTTGCTAAAGCTGCCTCTTTGAAAGTTATTGGTGCTGAGGGAGATTTGATGGTAGTGTTAGTGCTGTCTGTGGTGGTATCTGTTGTCGGCTGTATTGCAGACATTGACTGAACTTTACTCATGCCACCCACAAAGCGCTTGTTCCCGTTGGTGACAGAGCGTGAGATGCTGCCATCCCTGCTGTCCTTCTCCTCGGCTGACCGTAAGGGATCTTCCTCTGTGTCCAGTTCCTCACAGGAAGTGACCTGGGAGTTGACTGCGGCCCTCACGCCAGGCAGACTGAGAACAATTGAGAAGATGGCTCTTGTTGTAGATGGTGCGCTCTCGTCTTCATCAGATGAACCTGAGTGATCAGCTGAAAGTCCAGCGTCGTTGTTGTTCCAGCTGTCACTGCTGCTCTGATCTGCCTCCCTATTTGGCCCACTTTTATCACTGCCACCAGACTTCCACCCCCAACAGTGGAATCTCCCACTCAGACTGTGAACAGAGGCTTTTTTATGACCAGGTTGGCCCAGTTCAAAGCTGCTGCAGCTCCTAGAGCTCCCCCTAGTGGCGTGGAGATGGAAGCGTGGTCGCTCAACACCTCCAAATCGTCCACCTGAACCTTGCAATCCAGCAAGTTCCCGTGATCTGTTTTCTGTCTCTTTGTATATTCGCCAGTATAAAACGCTCATTATCGTCACCGGCAGGTAGAACGCCGCCATTGCGGTGCAAAACGTAATAATAGGCTCGGAGAGAAACTGAATGTAGCATTTATCCTGTGGAACAGTTCTTTGTCCTACGAAATACTGCCAAAACAAAATGGCAGGTGCCCAAAGAATGAGTGACACAAACCATGCCAGGCCAATCATCACTCCTGCTCGCTTGGTGGTGCGTTTGGCACGGTACGTCAGAGGCCTCGTAATGGAGAAATATCGGTCAAAGCTAATGACAAGCAGATTCATGACAGATGCATTGCTGGCTACGTAGTCTATGGCTAGCCAGAGGTCACATGCCCAGTTTCCCATCGCCCACTGGCCCATGACGATGTAGGCAGTGTACAGGTTCATAGAGATGACCCCAATGATGAGATCTGCCACGGCTAAGCTGAGTAGGAAGTAATTGTTAACTGTTTTGAGCTGTCGGTTGACCTTAAATGACACCATGACCAAGATGTTGCCGATAATAGTAATAAGGGAAAGCAGGCCTGTAAAGACAACGATGAGAATGACCTGCCAGAGCGAGTGTCCACCCAGAGGATCATAGGATTGACCTTCAGCCTCAGCATTACTCCCATTGAGCTTGAAAACAGCAGTGAGGTTGACGAGGCTTGTGTTCTGGAGCAGTGGCCACAGAGTGGATGCCGGGTACATTCCCACTCCGAGGGTGTCGGATGGAGAGAAGTGGCCCAACTCGGTGCTGTTGGAGTCCATTGTGCAGGCCGGGCATATTCTGAAAAAGGAAAATATTATTAGGTTATTCTTAATCATTTGATATTTAAGTCAAAGGCTTGCGATGAAAGCTGACAGAAAGTGCTTTGCACATTTAAAGGGTGGTGATGCTACTAAAGATCCAAGGTTGCTGTTGCTTTATATCTACACTAGAGGGTGATGTTGATCCACTAAATCAGATCATCAGACAGGTATTAAACATTCAGTCCTTTTTAAAAACTTTGAGAGGATTAAACAAAATACTTTCTCAAATATAGCATAAAATACCTAATTGGAATCTTTCTGCAGCCAAATATGTAGATGTGTAAGCAGCAGTGTATGTGAAAGATATGAAACAGTTGATTTTAGTGAGAGAAAAAAAAAAAAACATTAAATCAAACATCTCCAAACATTAAGTATTGAATAGTCATTGATCTTAAAGAAATCTTTTATTATTTTAGGAATACATCGGATGAATGATTAAATACTGTATATATATATATATATATATATATATATAATGCACAAACAACAGTTCCCAAATTTCCAGAGAATGAATAATGCTGTAAAGGAACTTGCTCATTATACATTATTTTTACATTGAAAAAACAAAAATGAACCAAAAAATCTTAGAGCAATTGTAATTAAGCTGTGCTTGTAGCCTTATCTCCCTATTACAAATTAAAAATTCTCATAGGTCATAGGTGGCATTTCACTATCTGCTCACACTTGGAACGTCTTGTTCTAAGAAATTTAAATTACACCATACAAAAGTGAAAATTAGGTTTGTCCCATGTGAATTCATAAATAAATCCAGTCTTTCATAGAAAGTTTCCCACAGAACTGTCAAAACTTACAAAACACAAACAAGCTCAGGCCTTTCATTAAAAGTATAAAATAAGCTAGTGCATGTATTTTCATTTCTTAAAGAGTGAAGGACCGTTTTAATAATGCAAAATAACACATCAAGAGATAAATAACTCAATATGTTTTCAAAAATAGATCCTCCTTACTAATGGTGCTGTGGAAGTACACAAAATAGGTCTGGATAGGAGATAACGGATACACAACAATAAGATGTTGTTGATATAATGCTAGACTGAATAACTTAATCCAGAACAAAATTACGTTACATCGGACCCAACAAGAACATAAAAAACATTGAACACTATAAAAACCTAACATAATAAATAAGCTTTTAGAATTTCAGAATTATATGAAAATATAGTTATATCAAATATAACCCAATTTGAAATAAAAAACAAATCACAGAAGGGAATAAAAAATTACTTAAAAAAACAATTGCACAGTTTGCTATAATAACTATAATATTAACAATTTGTGCTAGTTTAACTATTTATAGATTTATTATGCTATCTATCAATAGTATTTAAAACATGGTGTTCAAAAGTCTTAACCTTGTCTTAATTCTATAAAATCTGAATAAAATGTGTGTTAAAACTAGTTTCCAGGCTAAAGCACAAGCTCTGCATTAACATACTAACAGCTAGCAGATCAATATGTGCAGTGTTTCTGAAGAACATTTTCAAAATAGCTGCTATACACTTCAGTTAAAAGCTGTGACACTCAGTCTCAGAGCTAGCAGACACACGAACAGCAGGGGAAAATGTTCACGTCGAGATAAACCATGGGCGAGGTGTTTCTTTACTTTATTCTGCAAGAGGAAGTTGTTGCGGCTCTTTCCCAGAATGCCTCATAAATGCACAGTTAATCTCCTTGATAGAAGCACAGAATAAAATGTAACTGGCTCATGGCCAAGGACGGATAAACATCTCAACGCTTCATATAAAAATCATATCTAGTTCTTAACCAGAAGTTACACACAAATACACACAAACAAATGTTCTTTCTTTAAAAAAACAATCTTACAAATTTAAAAATAAGTCTAAAAAGGCTGCTCTTGAAGGAAAGCTGACAATCATAAGGCATCATAGAGCAGAACAGGCCTCCATTACTAAATATAGTCATCATAAACTTTCAAAAGAAAGCACTGATTCTGAACCAAGAGCATCTGTCTTAGTTTCAGATACTTTTTCATCTTGATAAGGCAATGGGATGCAGCAGAGAAAAGTAGACGAGATGCGAGATTAGGGAATGACGGTCTGAACACATAATCACATTGTCGCTAAGATACTATATATGGGCTTGCCTTGCATATTTTAAAAAGAGAAAAGAACAAATGGGTATGACCATTGTTATACACACACACACACACACACACACACACACTGCAGAGTCAGAGGTAATTAGCTATTGGATTCGATCTCAGTTCTTCTAAAGCAGAAACAAAGGATAATTACCTTACAATAAGCAGAGTCGTGTTTAAAACTGAGAGAACAAAACAGTCACGCACAAACTGGTTTGTTAAAAAATAATAATAAAAATGGGAATAATTATAAAAATATACAGACTTTTTTGTCTGAAAAATAAGTTGCTTATTAAAAGTTTTTTTTTTTTTTTTTTTTTGCATGACAGTGCCTTTATTTGTGTAATGGGTTTAAATCACCCACTTCGAATGTTATCACTGGTTATCAGCTGATAGATAAGGGCTACAGAAGGCTGCTATCATCCATCCACATGGGTAATCAGCTATACTGATAGAAAAGACTCAAGATCTGTTTTTACATTACTGTGACGGTTGAGTTTACATTCGGAGTAGGGGTAAATGTTATAAAAATACAATTAATGGTACATTTAATAAAGAATATAAATAATTATTATGGTGAATCAGCTATACTAATAGAGAAACCTCCAGATCCAGATCTGTTTTTGCATTACTGTCATGAATGGGTTTAGAGTTGGAGTAGGGTTAGACGTTAACAAAATACAATCAATGAGAAATGTAATAAATAATATAAATAATTATTGTTAACTTCCGGCCTCATTCATATGTGATCTATAGTTGATTAAGCATGTAGAGGGTCTTCTGAGCATACCATTAAGTGCAGAAGGTCCCTACTGGCCCATATGTACAGTATCTGCTACCCACAAATCAGGTAATCAGCTAGACTTTATTTACACACGACACTGCTTCACTGATCAAACAATAGTAACTCCACTACAAATATCTGATCATTTCCTTCTGTCTCTCAACATCCACATTACTCCTGAGCCGCCACACACTCCAACACTGGTCACCTTTCGCAGAAACCTACGATCTCTCTCACCCAATAGACTATCAACCATTGTTTCAGACTCTCTTCCTCCATCTCGCAAACTCACTGCACTTGATTCGAACAGTGCCACTAATACACTCTGCTCCACACTAGCATCATGTCTAGACCGATTATGTCCTCTTGCATCCAGGCCAGCCCGTGCCAGTCCTCCTGCACCCTGGCTCTCGGATGCTCTCCGTGAGCATCGCTCAAAACTTCGGGCTGCGGAGAGAATTTGGCGGAAAACTAAAAATCCTGCACATCTCTTAACATACCAAACTCTTCTGTCCTCTTTCTCAGCTGAGGTTACTTCTGCAAAGCAGACGTATTACCGTCTGAAAATCAACAATGCCACTAATCCTCGCCTACTTTTTAAAACATTTTCCTCCCTCCTCTATCCTCCTCCTCCACCCGCATCCTCCACACTTACTACTGATGACTTTGCTACATTCTTCTGCACCAAAACTGCAAAAATCAGTGCTCAATTTGCTGCACCTACAACAAACACGCAAGATACAACACCACACACACTCACCTCTTTTTCTCAGCTCTCTGAGTCTGAGGTGTCCAAACTTGTGCTATCTAGCCATGCAACCACCTGTCCACTCGATCCCATTCCCTCTCATCTCTTGCAAGCCATCTCTCCTGCAGTCATACCAACACTGACTCACATAATTAACACATCTCTTGACTCTGGTTTATTCCCCACTACATTTAAGCAGGCTAGGGTAACCCCACTGCTAAAGAAACCCAACCTGGACCATACGCTACTTGAAAACTACAGACCAGTATCCCTGCTTCCATTCATGGCCAAGATTCTGGAGAAAGTAGTGTTCAATCAAGTCCTGGACTTTCTTACTCAAAACAATTTCATGGACAACAAGCAATCCGGCTTTAAGAAAGGCCACTCAACTGAGACTGCCCTGCTCTCGGTCGTGGAGGATCTCAGACTGGCTAAAGCAGACTCTAAATCATCAGTCCTCATTTTGCTGGACTTGTCAGCTGCTTTTTACACTGTCAACCACCAGATCCTGCTATCTACGCTTGATTCACTGGGCGTTGCGGGCACTGTTATACAATGGTTCAGATCTTACCTCTCTGACAGGTCATTCAGGGTGTCTTGGAGGGGAGAGGTGTCCAACCTACAGCATCTAAACACTGGGGTACCTCAAGGCTCTGTTCTTGGGCCACTTCTCTTCTCCATCTACACATCATCTCTAGGACCAGTCATCCAGAGACATGGATTCTCCTACCACTGCTATGCTGATGATACCCAGCTATACCTCTCTTTTCATCCTGATGATCCCTCGGTTCCAGCTCGTATCTCAGCCTGCCTGTTGGATATTTCACACTGGATGAAAGATCATCATCTTCAGCTGAACCTCGCAAAAACGGAAATGCTTGTAGTTTCTGCCAACCCGACTCTACACCATAACTTTTCAATCCAGATGGATGGGGCAACCATTACTGCATCCAAAATGGTGAGAAGCCTTGGAGAAACGATTGATGACCAACTAAACTTCTCTGACCACATTTCTAGAACTGCTCGATCGTGCAGATTTGCACTCTATAACATCAGAAAGATCCGACCCTTCTTATCTGAACATGCAGCTCAACTCCTTGTTCAAGCTCTTGTTCTCTCCAAACTGGATTACTGCAACTCTCTACTAGCTGGGCTTCCAGCTAACTCTATCAAGCCTCTTCAACTGCTCCAGAATGCAGCAGCACGAGTTGTCTTCAATGAACCTAAACGAGCACATGTCACTCCGCTGCTAGTCCGTTTGCACTGGCTGCCAGTTGCTGCTCGCATCAAATTCAAAACTCTGATGTTTGCCTACAAAGTGAC